GGAAAAGTTGGGTAGGCTCTGGGCTGGGGGACATTTGGATGCTCTTAAATAGAACTAGGGAGGTCGTATTAGCTCTGAATTTGGTGTACAGAATCCCATGCTACTGTGCCTGATTGAAAGAGAAAACAGGACAATGTAGCACTTTAAAGACTAACAAGATGGTTTATTAGGTAATGAGCTTTTGTGGGCCAGACCCACTTCCTCAGATCAAATTGTGGAAAAAAATAGGCATGATCATATATACCAAAGGGATACAATCAAAAAAAGTGAACACATATAAAAAGGAGAAATCAAATTTCAGAACAGAGGGGAGATGGGCGGAGAGGAAGGAAAATGTCTATGAGCTAATGATATTAGGGGTGATAACTGGAGAAGCTATTTTCGTAATGGATAAGATCATTAGTGTTTTTGTTAAGACCCTAGCGTAAAGTGTCAAATTTAAGCGTGAATGACAGTTCAGAGGTTTCTCTTTCAAGTCTGGTGTTAAAATGTCTTTGATGCAGGATGCAGATAATCAAGTCGTTGAGACAATGCCCTTTCTGGTTGAAATGGCAAGAAACTGTTTTTCTTTGTGATACTATCTGATATCCGTTTTGTGTGGATTGATTCTTTGGTGAAACGTCTGAGATATTTGTCCAATGTACATAGCATAGATGGACACTGTCGGCACATGATGACATAAATTATATTTCTGGATGAGCAGGAATATTTGTTCTTGATATTATAACGATTTGGTTAGGTCTAATAATGTTGTCAGCTGAGTAAATATGTGGACAAAGCTGGCCACGAGGTTTGTTGCAAGGGAAAGTTCCAGGGTTGGTATTTATGTGATATGTCCTGTGGTTGTTTGTAAGAATCATCCTGAGGTTAGGTGATTGTCTGTAGGAGACTATGAGCCTGTCTCCCAGAGCCTCTCAGAGTGCAGTATACTGTTCCAGTATAGGTTGTAGTTTATTGATAATGTGTTGGACGGGTTTAAGTTGGGGGCTATAGATGATGTCAAGTGGTGTTCTACTGTTGGTTTTCTTGGATCTGTCTTGAAGTAGATGGTTTCTGGGTATTCGTCTGGCTCTTTCAATTTGTTTTTTTATTTCTCCAGGTGGGTAATTGAGGTTTATAAATGCTTAGTAGAGATCCTGAAGTTTCTGGTCTCTGTCAGTGGGATTAGAGCAGATGCGGTTATATCGAAGGGCTTGGCTATAGACAATGGATCGTATGGTGTGTTCTGGATGGGAGCTGGAGGCATGAAGGTAACTGTATGAGTCACTCGGTTTTCTGTAGAGAGTGGTGTCTAATTTAGCATTTGTGATTTGTACTGTGGTATCCAAGAAATGGATCTCTTATGTATAATGGTCCAGGACGAGATTGATGGTGGGGTGTAGGTTGTTAAAATTTTTTTGACACTTTACACCTAGGTCTTAAGAAGGACACTAATTACCTTCCCCATTACAAAGATAGCTTCCCCAATTATCACCTCTAATATCATTAGCTCACAGACATTTACCTTGCTCCCTCATCCCCCTTCTGTTGCCACTGATCTGGAGGTATAAGTTGTCCTCAAATTGGAAATAATTATGGGTGAGAAGAAAGTTACATAATGTCTGCTGCCAGATTGGCAGTGGTGTCATCTGGGATAATGTTTCTAATTGCTTGTAATCCATCTTCATGTGGGATGTTGGTGTATAGAGCTTCTACATACATGGTAGCAAGGATGGTGTTATCAGGGAGGTTATTGATGTTTTGTATTTTTCTCAGGAAGTCAATAGCATCTCGGAGATAGCTGGTAGTGGTGGATGCGTAGGGTTTGAGAAGAGAGTCTACATAGCTGGATAACCCAGTGGTGAGTGTGCCGATACCTGAGATGATGGGATGTCCGGGGTGTCCCGGTTTATGGATTTTGGGAAGCAGATAGAACAATCCTGGTCAGGGTTCAGAAGGTATTTCTCTGTGGATTTGGTCCCAAGTAGACGTAGAGAGGTCTTTAAGGAGATAGTGTTGTTTCTTTTGGCATTCTGAGGTGGGTTCAGAGGAGAGAGGTTTGTAAAATGTGGTGTTGGAGAGTTGTCTGGTTGCCTCCTGGTTATAGTCAGACTTATTAATAATGACCACAGCACCCTCTTCATCAGCTGGTTTGATTATAATGTCCGGGTTGTTTTTGAGACTCAGGATAGCACAGTGTTCAGCGTGGCTGGGATTGTGTGTTGTTTGTTGTCGTTTGTGAATAATGTCAGTCTGTGCATTGTTGCGGAAGCTTTGTATATAGAAATCCAGATTGTAATTCCAACCATCAGGGGGAGTCTATATAGAGTTATTTTTCCTTTGGTGTTGATTGAGAGGATCTGATTGGTCAGACTGATATTCACTGGCAGTTTGGAAATATTCTTGTACGTGGAGGCGGCGAAAGAAAGCCTCAAGGTCACCACAGAATTGAATCCAGTTTGTGGGAGAGGTGGGGCAGAAAGAGAGACCCTGGGATAAGACAGACTCTTCTGTGGGTTGAGTTTGTAGCTGGAGCCAACAGTGTCCGTCTGCTATGTACATTGGACAAATATCTCAGACACTTCGCCAAAGAATCAATGCACACAAAATGGATATCAGACAGTATCACAAAGAAAAAACAGTTTCTTGCTATTTCAACCAGAAAGGCAATCAAAAATCTTAATGACTTGATTACCTGCATCCTGCTTCAATACATTATAACACCAAACTTGAAAGAGAAACCTCTGAACTGTCATTCATGCCTAAATTTGACACTTTACGCTAGGGTCTTAACAAAGACACTAATTATCTTATCCATTACAAAAATAGCTTCCCCACCCCCCCCCCATCTCCCCTCTGTTCTGAAATTTGATTTGTCTTTTTATATGTGTTCACTTTTTTTGATTGTATCCCTTTGGTATATATGGTCATACTTATTTTCTTCCACAATTTGATCTGAGGAAGTGGGTCTGGCCCACGAAAGCTCATCACCTAATAAACCATCTTGTTAGTCTTTAAAGTGGTACATAGTCTTGTTTTTTGTTTCAGTTAGACTAGACTAACACAGCTATATCTCTATTACTATTCTACATGATTGAAAGAATGAATTGATACAGTTATACCAGTGTTCCTCAAAGCGGGCCACAGGCTCAGTCTCAGTTTGTTCACTTACCAGGTCCTCAGCCACAGAGCTTCGTGGCTTCTCTTGGCTGTGGTTCACCGTTTTCAGCTCAGGGGAGACATGGGAAGTAACAGCCCAGGTTACATCACTTCCCACAGCTCCCTTTGGCTGCAAACAGCAGACTAGAGCCAATGGGAGCCAGAGAGCCCCGTGCCTGTAGAGCTGGTAAGTAAACAAACACGAGTGGCCTGATAGCAGATTTTTCAAATTAGGCCCACAGTCCTCTTTGAGAAACATGGTTTTACCCTCTTTGCTAGCAATCCTTCCACGTTTCCACATCTTGTGAACTTCCTTTTTGTGTTTAAGCTCCCCAGGGATTTTACTGCTAAGCCAAGCTGCTGGCCTGCTATATTTGCTGTTTTTACTGCATATCGGGATGGTTTCTTTGTTCCTGCACCTTCAATAAGGCTTCTTTAAAATACTGCCAGCTCTCCTGGACTCCTTTTCCCAATGCAGTATTTCTCAAAGTGGTCTGCTGACACACTCTGAGAAAGTTGCCAACTAGACACACTGGTTTGTTTATTTACTGTCTCTGCAGCCACAGAGCATCATGACTCCCATTGGCTACGGTATACCAAGGGGAGCTTCAGGAAGCAACTGTGCCTGTCAGGCACCTATTTTCTGTGATGGAAATAGGTGCAATTTCATAGCACTATGTGGTTTGAAGGGATGGCTGTGATCATTTAGTCTCACCACAGCCAAAATGTAGGATTATCTCTCAGTAGCAGTTACAAAGGCCTGGAGATTCAAGCAAATTTTAACAAGGGGAAGCTGCTATCATTTTTTAAGTAAACCCCAATCCTCCTTATGATTGGGAATCACCTGCCTGGAATCTGTCTGCAACCATCCGTAGACATGTATTCTATGACAAACCATTGGTTCCCTCTTTATTAGAGTCTTAAGTCAGATTTTCCAGTGCAATAGACCCTTTCAGAGGTCTCAAGCTCTGCTGCCCTTATGTAGTTTTGGAAGGGGCCATGGTGAAGCACAGAATGTATACTCCAGCCTCACAGGTGTTGATAAGGGAAATATCATTAATGCAAAGGGCTGGATGCCAACACATGAGTAGCACTATATATGTACGTGGATATCTTCAAACGTTTGATAACAGTAAAGTGCCTACATAGGTAGGTGGAAGCAGGGCTAGGTCTTCTCTAGCCTCCATCATCTCTAGGAAACTTTCCCCCCAACCTATGTGATGAGTTTTGCAGGGCTCAGCTGTCCCTCGAATGCAACTGCATGAAGATTGAAATTCCAGGAAACTTTTTGGGTTTGGCTGTTGATTAAATGTATATTGTCCTCATTTCTTCTGTGCATAATTTTTTGGGGAATAATTATGTTTTAATTTGCTTTCAGTGCAAGCCAATCAGAGGGGTGGCATAGGTCTGCAGAAGGAAACAGAAAAAAATGACCTATGAGGAGAGGCTGAGGGACTTGGGTCTGTTTAGTCTGCAGAAGCAAAGAGTGAGGGGGGATTTGATAGCAGCCTTCAACTTACTGAAGGGAGGTTCCAAAGAAGATGGAGGAAGGCTGTTTTCAGTAGTGATGGATGGCAGAACAAGGAGCGATGGTCTCAAGTTGTGGTGGGAGAGGTCCAGGTTGGATATTTCACTAGGAGAGTGGTGAAGCACTGGAATGGGTTACCTAGGGAAGTAGTGGAGTCTCCATCCCTTGAGGTGTTTAAGTCTTGGCTTGATAAAGCCCTGGCTGGGTTGATTTAGTTGGGATTGGTCCTGCCTAGAGCAGGGGGCTGGACTTGATGACTTTCTTAGGTCTCTTCCAGCTCTATGATTGTATGATTCTGTGATTGGAAAGTAGTATTTTTGTTTTTCTTTTGCAGCCCAGCTCAAGGAGGAAAATGGTACGTTGTTGTGACTTATACAGTTGGGAGGGTGAAGAATCAGACCTTACCTCACCAAGCAAGCAACTCCCTGTGTATTTGAAGGCTCTGTAGGATTTTCTAATCTGTCCCAGGGACAGAGGCCAGTTTAATGAATGCCAGCTCATGCTTTTGAAAACAAATCTGTCTCCAGGCTTCAGGATTGGAAGAATGGGCATGTGAATAGGTCCAAGAGTCAATAGCTGGAGAACTCTGTCTAATTTTCAAGGGCATGGCTAATATCTCTAGTATTTAGGAAATAACGGATCTTATTCACTCTCAACTCAATCTGCTCCTAGTTTAATAACAGTAAATGCCTACATTGGTAAGTAGTATTTTTGTTTTTCTTTTGCAGCTCAGCTCAAGGAGGAAAATGGTAAGTTGCTGTGACTTATACAGTTGGGTGGGTGAAGGGTCAGACCTTACCCCACCAAGCAAGCAACTCCCTGTGTCTTTCAAAGCTCTGTGGGACTAATTTTTCTGTGGGTCAGTGGCCCCCAACCCAAAAACGGTTCCCGCCTCTGGTTAAGTATTTTCCCTCAGATCTGACACAAAGGAAGCAGCTGCTGTTTTTTTAATCACATCAGATTGTGAAATGAAATTGTGGGTGAAAAATCCTGAGTGTGTCTCTCACCCTTCAGTGGGTTCTTCCTCCACAGTTTGAGTTGCTCTGAAGAAGCACTGGCAGCTCCCTTGCTGTGCAGCTCTTGTGCTTATGGTATGCCTGGTGTTTGGCCTGCAGCTCATAGCCAGCTCCATACTGTCAGATGGGAACTTCATCTTACATATGTGACTCTCCTGAAGGCCTCTGGCTACTCCTGACTTGCCAGAGGTGCCAGTTCAGATTGTGGTGGGGCTGGGAAAGGCAACTTTAACAATTCCAAAGGATACTTAGGCACCAGAAATCTCTGGGGATTGGAGGGAGGGTTGTGTTTATTTTGGTTTTTGTTTTGTTTATTTGTTTCAGATGGGAACTTCATCTTACATATGTGACTCTCCTGAAGGCCTCTGGCTACTCCTGACTTGCCAGAGGTGCCAGTTCAGATTGTGGTGGGGCTGGGAAAGGCAACTTTAACAATTCCAAAGGATACTTAGGCACCAGAAATCTCTGGGGATTGGAGGGAGGGTTGTGTTTATTTTGGTTTTTGTTTTGTTTATTTGTTTATTTGCAAATAACTTAGAAATTAGCTGATCAGTAATAATTAAATTATTTACAGGT